TTTTAAAAACATCACATTAAAATTGTAACAGCAATGCAGATTTGTGAAAACTCAGTGAACTATGGGTAAGTATAGAGAGTAAGTTTCTGTAAAAGTGTTGAGCACTTGAGCAAGTCAGTGTTTGCAGTTTGTGTATTTACAGTTGCTGCACTTCAGTTGCTCTGTGACATTGGTGGCTACTTCATATCAATAGTGTCAGTATGTTAAGTAGTTCAGTGACTACAGGCAGGGTCAGTAAAATGTTTACTTTGGGTGGTTTATTTTCTGTTCCCACGTAGTGCCAGTTCTGTAGCTCTACCACATGGTTTAGTTGTAGTGGATACACTAGATTCAGTCGGATGCAAACACACTCAGAAAATGTGACTGTCGGAATGCCAACATCTTTGACCGCAGCTGTTCAAAAGAAGGAGAGGACGTGTTCGCACAGTGTCTCAGATGCATGTTCTTCTGTAGTGTTGGTGAAAAGAAGGATGGGAAACATTGTCATTCTGTAGAGTCTAGTAAAGGGAGTTAGGAGAGAAAAGTAGCTTCTGTTCTACTTAACAGTTGCCTAAAGCATAGAAGCAGGCATATTGCTTGGATAACTAGCAGAAACGTGCCAGCGTTGATTAACATAATTAGCAAATACTAGCCCATTTAAAATATTTTGTGCAGTGTTAGCTGCCTTCTGTAGCTCTTTACATATGTGTATATGATAGGATTTATCTGCTTGGTGTATGTTACCTTGTGTATAATGGATTTAACAGGTACTGACCGTCCTCCAGGTTTCGCAGTCGGCTCCGGTCTGTGAGACACATCTAGTGCCCACTTGCGCGGAGTGCAGTCCGGGCGGCGCCATCCCCTGGAAATGGGATGCTCTCCTGGGCCACTGGTCCCTTTGGCAGGCTCTTTTCCAACAGTGTTTTTAAATGGATGAAATATGTAAGATTGCAAAGATAATATCAAAATGATAAAATGTTGAATTTGTCATTTTGTAATGAGCTTTTAAATTTACCCCTTGCCCTGGCTGGTGTGGCTCAGTGGATCGAGTGCCGGCCTGTGAATCAAAAGGTCATCAGTTCCATTCCCAGTCAGGGCTCATCCCTGGGTTGCAGGACAGGTCCCCGTTTATGAGGCGTGAGATTGGCAACTACACATCAACGTTTCTCTTTCTTTCTTCCTCCATTTCCTTTCTAAAATAAAGAAATAAAGTCTTTAAAAATTTGCCTTTAATTATATAATGTAATGTAATAATTACTGTAATTTTGAAGTGGCAGTGAGGGTCAGTGATATTCTGAGATACCTTCAGACACTGAATGCGATCAGAAATTGCCTGACTTCCGTTGGTGTCCGAGATGCAGGTGTGCCCCTGCTTGTTCATGCACTCGTAACAAAATGGGTGCTTAGAATTCTAAACTTCAAAGATTAGTAAAAATAAAGATGCAGTCTCTCCCCCCAAGATCCTAGAACACTTGATTACATACGTTATACAAGTTCACTGTAAGCCCTGGCCCATGTGGCTCTTGGTTTGTGTGGCTGTTGTCCCATAAGCCGGGAAGGTCGTGGGTTCCATCCCCGGTCAGTGTGCATGCCTGGGTTTCATGCTCTGTCCTTGGTCAGTATGTGTGTGGGGTTGGGGGGCAGCCAGCTGATGTTTCTCATATCATTGTCTGTCTGTGTGTGTGTCTGTCTCTCTCTTCTTTCCTCTTTCTCTAAAAGCAGTGGAAAATGTCCTTGGGGGAGGGGTTTAAAAATCTCAATGAAAGCTAATGATGCTTTGAAAGTGCGCTGTGTGCTGATGAGGGAGGCTGTAGTCGGTGCTGGAGCACTCTCGACATGTTGTGGTCTGTTACGCTGTCGTGTTGGTGAGTTTGCTGCATGTGTTCGTAGGACACATACAGCCCTTTCAAAGAAGTATTACATCTTTGAGGGAAATAATTTCATAATTGCCCCAAATCAAAAGGTTTTATTCCTGTGAATTTGACTGTGAGGGGTTTTCTTGATAATCTTACTCAGTAGTGCTTAAAAGATAAAGAGAAGGCCTCTGTTTTCAGACTTCATCTCATAGTGGGCAAATGTTCCTCAGTGAAGTGGCCTCAGTAAGTGTTACCATGTCCAGTATGAAATGTTAATCTAGTCGGGCAGTGTGTGCGCTCCAGTGAGGCCCTGTGCAGGGCGCAGGAGGGCCTCATGTGGCTTTGACTCCTGGCTTCTTAGCCAGTGATCCTGAGCTTGTTGTTTGACTTCGAGACGTTAGGATGTTATGTCAGATATTCTTATTATTTAAAAGGGAGGGGTGAAGCCAGAGACCAATTAGGCACACTTCTGTCTGCCCTTCCAGTGTCCGCTGCGCACCCTCTGCCCCCACCCCCACCTCCCACCACACGTGGTGCCTCGGTCCCCACAGGTCTGTCTTCTGTGTTAGCACTGCCATCTGCTGACTGGGCCCCTCCAGAGGATGGACCCCGATTCTGTGTTTGTGTTGGCTACTATTTGACTGGAATGCTATTTTGTTTGGTAAAACAATCATTCTGAATTAGTGATGTATTAAGTTCCTAGCACAAGTCCAGGAGGTGCCAAATGAATGAGTGCTCCCTTTATTCCTGTGACCTCTCACAATGCAATTTCACAGTGTGTGATCTGACACCGGAGTTCGGTGTCCAGTGGGCGACGTGTAAGCAGAGGGGAAGGCAGTGTGCAGTTAGAATGTGGGTGATCAGTGTAGCCGCCACATGCCCACACTCATTGCACACTTAGGGGGGTGGGCTATGGGCTTCACATGCATCGCCTGCGAGGCTGTCTGCGGGGCTGTCATATACCAGGTGGTGTTAGCTACTGCCTTTAAGTGATTAGCATACTGAACTTTGCTAGGAAACCACTCGGCTACAATGTAAATTTCTGGACCATTCGATTCCAAGCCTTTGATTTTTAACTACCATGGCAAATAGCCTTTGCTCTTACTTGAATGTGCTGTGTCACGGAACCAACCATGGAGGACTAAGTAACAGTTGCGGGCGGTGGAACCGCATTGTGTGAGGGCAGCTTCAGATCTGGCTCACTCTCACCTCCCATCAACACGGGATGCCACTGAGAGACTTGGGCTGGCTGACAAGCTCTCTGAGGACACCCAGCCCTGAGGGTCCTCCAGCCTGCTTACCACTGCACAGGCGCCACCTAGTGGTTCTGAATGATGGCCCCAGCTGGGGCTGAGAATAGGATCTCCCTCTCCCCTCATCCCCAGGGGTGCAGTTTCCTCGTGTTGGGCACACGCCCCGGGTGGTGTGCAGCAGTGCACTTTTCCTGGAGAACTGTGCAGACCCTCGTCCTGGCACCATAACCCATCCCTCCATTGCCGCCGGCCTCACAGTTGTTTCCTGCAGGGCAGCGTGGCTCCCGTCCTGCTGCCTGACTTCGTGTCTCCAGAAGGGCCTTCCTTGGCCCTGATGGACAGTGCCACCCCGCTTGTGCTACTAAATGAAGGACGGCAGCTTAAAAAGATAGGTTCTGTGGGTACGGGTAGTTTCACACCTTCACGGGTGCCTTCTACTTTTTCTTTTTTGTGGTTGGAAGTGCTCGCTAAGAAGCAGTTACAATATTCGTCTTTATTCCTTAAAGATGATAGACCAAAACAACAAAATTCAAACCAGAAGTAAAACTAAACCCACCAGTCCTTACTGATTCTTTAGCAGGTCCAAGTGCGGATCGTGGGCAGAGGAGAAAAGAGAGATGTTGATTTAAAATCTTTAATAAGTCCTGAGGAGACTGTTGAAGCCTGGACAATGATCGAGTCTCCGGAGCAGAGCCCACACTGCAGGCACGGTGGGCTGCGCTGCAGTGCATGGGGTCTATAGGGGACCTGCCGCAGAGACAGGTGACAGCATTTCCTCCACGCTGCAGTCTCACTCGGCCCCTTACCTCCCACCACTCCAGCAAGTGGGCCGGGGCTGAGAGAGAGGACTTGTATCTTGAGTTGTGTCCTTAGCAGTTGGTCAAGTGGCTCCTTGGGGCCAGGCCTTCCAGACGCCAGCGCCTGTGGCGATCTGCTGTGTGTCCCGCTTTTGAAGGCAGAACAGCACCTCGCTGAGGAGGCAGGGGTCCTTGGTGTCAGATGAGTATCTGGAAGGTTGGAAGGCTGCGGAGGGGGTGAGGGGGCTCTGGCTCGTTGGTTCTGCTGCCGTGGCTGGTGGTGGTGCATCTGCTGTGGTGGGAGTGAGGAGGCAGTCACTCTGGATCCTGCCTCCCGATGCTCGGGGGTGAAAGGAAGGACAGGCAGGGAGGCGGAGCTGGAGGGGCTGTGTGCGTGCGGGCGGTGGGGGTGTGCAGACGTCCAAGTAATGTCAGGAAGGAGCCGGCCGAGGACGTGGGATTGCCCCAGCTGAGGTGGGGGGAGGGGGACGACGCTCACTACTGCCCAGAACCGTGTAGACCAGACTCTGGTGCCCGGAGAGCAGTGGCAGGAGCACTTGTGTTTAGAACTCTGAGCAGCAGGTGCGGTGTCTCCCTCCCAGGCTGAGGCTGGGGCTGGGGTCTTGGGACCGTCGAACAGACTGCGGAGCCGAGGTGCGTTGTTTCCAATTAGTTAGCTTGTGGAGAAGCTGATAATTAGAGGGCACGACGATTATTTTAAGTGAACTGTAATTACAAGTTATACGAGTTGCCAAGAAACTTTTTAAAAATGAGTTACATGGAAATACATTTGTTCTGTCAACCAGCTGCTGTAACCGGAACATAAGGTTTTCCACAGTCAGCAGGAGGAGGGAGTGTCTCAGAGTGCACCGTGACTGGGGACAAGGGACATGCCATGTTTCCTGTTACTCGATGACCGTTTGCAGTGGAGACAGTGGAGAACACACACAAGCAGTGCCATTGTTGACATGTATAAGCCTTTCTTCTCTGTTAGTGAAGAGTCGTCGTTTGTGTAACTCACTTTCCTTTATGGCATGGGCTCTGTAGCTGAATGCACCGAAGACGGATGTGACAGCACAGTGACTCTGTACCCTCTCTTGTTCCCTACAAAGCAGAGATCAAAGAGCAGTCTGCGGAGGAGGAGGTGGAAGCTGAGGTGGAGGGCGGCAGACGGCCCGCCCCGGCCCTGCAGCGCTCAGCGTCTGAGGAGTCGGCCAGCTCCCTGGTCTCCGTTGGTGTGGAAGCCAGAATCAGGTCAGAGAGCGAGTGCGGCTGGCTGGAGATGGCAGGGGCAACGGGTGTGTGTGTGTGGGGGGGTGGCTGTAGGGGCCACTCAGCGCGTTTGGCCTCAGACGTGAAGCTGGGTGGAATTTTATTGCTCAGTCTCTGTCACTTGGGGTGTTGGCCTCATGTGCAGTTGGGGGAGTGCTGTCTCTGGGCTCAGGCTGCCGTGGAGCCGACTAGTCCTCTCATGTGCTCCTCTCCCCGGCCAGAACAGGGTGTCACCAGGACGCTCTTCCTGCCACAGGAGTCACTGAGCTCTTATCGTTAGGGGCATTGTGATAGTTACCTGTACACCCTTTTCTCCTGTGACTTACTGTGTCTTTATTCTTTAAAAAAGAAACAGGCCCTGGCTGGTGTGGCTCAGTGGGTTGGGCCTGTTCCACAAAGTGAAAAGTCATTGGTTTGGTTCCTGGTCAGGGCACATACGAAGAGACAACCAATTGCTGTTTCTCTTGCACATCGATGTTTTTCTCTTTCTGCCTCCTTTCCCCTTTCTCTCTTTCAAAAAAAGGGGGGGGGGGCAGGACATTATAACCTAAATGTATAATTCAGCTTTGAAGTCTTTTGTATTTTAACTTTATCTGAAAGCCCTGTGGAAGACTCCGAAATCACGCACCGGTAACGGTTCCCATCTCCTTGAAATGCCCCTTTCCCTTGCTTTGCCTCCCTCCCTCCTTGTCCTGGCTTCACTGGCTCCTCCTGGGGCTCCCGCCCTTGTGACCCTGGAGTTCCCAGTGGTCCAGCCATGGCCCCCCGCTGTGGGGGACCAGCAGTGGTCTGGGCCAGGACATACACAGTCTTGCTCCGCATCCAGGGTTCAGGGTCCCCCTAACCCCCATTGTGTCCCCCACCTGCAGGTGGCCAGTGCCATTGCAGCATGGTGGTCTTTCCTCTCCCACCCCCCCACCCCCTACTCCAAGCCTAAGGCTTTTGTTCCCCAGGAACAGTGGGGAATGGCGTGGGTGGGTCCTTATGTATCCGGCCCAGGCCCATCCTCAGGACCCCTCCCTTTGCGCATGTGCCCTGGGAGGTCCTAGGACAGGTGCCCCTGTGCTGTGGGCTGTGGCTGTCTTCTGTTCGCACACTGTCGCACATGTGGCCTGGAGCAATTTCTGACCTTTTCTGCCGACTTCTGTCCCACTTGTGTGACATTGGTGTCCTCTTCTCCAGGTGAAGCGGTGCCTGTCATCCGGGCAGGGGGTGGGTGGCACTGAGACTTCTTCTGCCCGCGGGTCAGGAAGGGAGTCTCCCCGTTGTTTGTTTGGAGAGTTTTGGTGGCAAGGGAGGGAGCAGTGCTCTGCCACTTTCTACCTCCAACGCGGAACCAGAGATCCCTACATGCGCCCCCGCCCCCAAGGGTTAACGAGTCTCCCGAGATGCTCACTGCCCTTCCTTCTGCGTCTCTCCCAGCCTCTCCTAGTGCGTCCGTAGTGTGAGTGCTTCTCCGGAGGGATTTCCAGGTGGGCCTGTTGTGTGTCGAGGTTCCTGAGGTCGGATGAGGCTGGGAATAATCTTACTACACCTTCACACGTGGGTGATGGTTTTGGACACACAATGGCATACTAAGATATTTTTCATCAATACTTTAAAAGCGTTGTTTGGTTTCCTCATCAGCGTTGTTGGCAAAGCCGGCAGTGGCTGGTCGTTGCCATGCACACCTGACATCTGCAGGGATGGAAGGAAGGAAGCCAGACACGGGGCTCGCGCAGAGGGGTGTGAGTGCGGGGCTCCGAGAACGTCACAGACCAGAGGGCTGTGGGCCTCACACGACACTCGTACAGGATAAAAGTCTTCTTCCTGTCTGACTTGACTTTTCTGAAAGTAGACCTCATTTAATTGTGTGTGTGTGTGTGTGTGTATCAGTATGCAACACATTCATCATTACATTGGAATAGGAAATACTGGAAAAATGTAAACAGGCAACTTTCACAAAAAAAGGAAATTAGTTGAAGAGAGATCCATCCAATCTGGGTTTAACTTAAGTTTGAAAAACTCCCAAGAGCCTCCTTCTAGTTACTATGTGGGACACTGCCCAATGCATGAGTCACTTAATAAACCCAATTAGATTAGATCTTCAAATTAAAAACAACACCTAAAAAGATTATGGATTATTCCTGTCACCTGTTAATGCAAGACACCAGGCCAGTTCACAGGGTGGGGACGGCAGAGGGGGTGGTGGGGGCCCGGACACCTGAGGAGGAAGACATGGGGCAGCGGCAGCACGCGTGTTCTTTGTTAGATGTGTTTTTCTGAGGTCCTTCATTAAGCGTATATTCCATAAGTTACATTGTTTTTGTCCTTTACCTTTTAAACATGGTTTCTTTTAAATAATTAATAGATTTTATCATTTAGAACAATTTTTGGTTTACAGAAACATCGAGCAGATGGTACAGAGAGCTCCCATTGCCAACCTTCTCCCGCCTCAGTTTCCCTGCTTGTTTGCACTGTGCATTGGGGTGATGTATCTGTTACAGATGGTGCACCGTTTGATACGTTGTCGTTGACCCAAGTCCCCAGTCCACACTGGGCTTGCTCTTTGTTTCCCGCTGGTTCCCGTGCGCCCTCTGAACCAGCTTCTCCGCTCTCTGCCCCTTCCCCGCTCCTGTCACACCCTTCTGCTGCTTCCAGCACCCACCCACACTTGTGTTTTATCCCACTGCACATGGGCTTGTATGTGTGGTAATACTTTATGCACACAGAACGTTCCCCGCAGTGGTGAAATCAAACTTTGTCACCACTTGTCCTACAGAGCTGGTGTACGACTCTGTGGCCATTGAACCCCACCCTCTTCCCCAATCTTAGCTTTACTCTCCTTATTGTTTTTCAATACTTTGAGTTTCTTGAATCAGATTCAAAAGAAAATTATGTTGCTAGATACAGGGTGTAGTTTTTTTATTTTGGTATGGTTACTACTTTAAAAAAAATCATGCTGTGGAAGAGTGGAATTGTAGATGTATAATTGTTTTTATGCTGTAGAAATTAAAAAGCTTAGCTTATGCTGAAAACACTATTTAATTTTAAAGCACCTGTGTCTATAGTTGTCACTTTAAAAAGTTAAACAAAACCGCCTTCTGCCTCTGTCTCCCTTCCTTCACTTCCCCCAGCGAGCAGCTCTGCGCTTTCTGTTACTGCGGTGAGAAGAGCCCCCTGGGACAGGGGGACTTGGAACAGTTCCCAGTGACCCCTGGCCTGGCCTTGACGCGGAGAAACCAGCCTGCCGGCAAGAGGGACATTGACGACAACAGCAATGGGACCTGCGAGAAAACACAGAACTCAGCACCACGAAGGCAGAGAGGACAGAGAAAGTAAGCACTTTCAGATTTAACCAGTTGGGATGCAGTAAGACCGTAAAACGTATTTTCACTGCATTGTTTGTGGCTCTAGAAATGGTGTTACTGAAAGTTTCTCATGTTTCCGACGCTCATAGGATGCTTTATGACTCACCATTAACCCAGCAAATGATCCTTTTCTCAAAATGTCTTTTGTATTTTTAAAAAGTCTGTTATCTTCATTGTGTACTAACAAAATCAGTGTGATCACAAGAGTTAACTTCAGAAGAAAATTTCAAGGACCTAACACCCATGGAAAGTAGATGAAGCAGATGCACGGAGTCTGTTGCTCCTCCGGGTGCACGTCGGCAGGTTGCGGGAGCACAGCCGCGGCACAGCAGAACCGCAGCGCGGCCTTTCTCGCTCAGCAGGGCTTCCCGGGCCACTGGCTTCTGCATTAGGTCCAGGACACACTGGACTGTCTCTCAGACCCGTACACAGCCCAGGTCACCCTGCTTTCTTTCTAAGTAATAATTACATGCCGAGGATGGCCTTTCCAACGTGAAATAAGGTGCTCTTCTTTAATGAAACAATAATTTACTTAGGAACTTGCATAACTATGTATTTGTGTTTATATCCATGGTCAGTATAGTTCCCCAAACTCTTCAAATATGTTTGCTTCCCAAGTTTTAAAAATCTTCTCATCTGTTGTAGAGTTTTGGTTCAAGGCCATCTTCACCTCTGGACTGGCTTTGGTAGTGGAGGGAGTGGAATTTTCTGAGGTCCACTAAAAAGTGTAAAATTAATTTGCTTGGAAGGCTGCCCCTGGAGGGTGATGATGTAACCGTGGAAGTGGTTCCCTGGCGCGGGTCCAGGATGAGCACTGAGGCGTTGCTGTGCTGGCTGGGGCGGCCTGCCTGAGGACCTGAAGCAGGAAGTGAAGCAGTCACGGGAGAGGGTCTTTTAAAAGCAGTTAAGGTGGACCAGTTTAAGGGAGTCTAGAAGCACCGTATTTGGAGTGTTGCTATTATAGAGGCCACAGCTAGGTCCTGGGCACAAGCTTTCCCTGTGGACAAACTGAGTGGCCTCATCCTCACAGAATACAGTGAAGTCAGCGAACTTCCCGTGACCATCGATAATTAGCACAGTTGTGGACCGGACCAGGTTGCGTCTTGTATCTTCCTGTTCTTCTTCGAATAATGGCGATTATGTAAGCACCTGTTCCGGGAAGTACACTTGGGCTTCATTTACTTATTTTATAAGTTAATTTTTAGTGAAAATCTATGAGTAAAGATGATAATGATGTAAAAATAGCCTTTGTTTACAAAAGCCTTTATACACACTAAGTGTTTACTGTGTTATTAAGTAATGATAAAAGCCAGTTAATGGACATTAGGACTGAAGTGCATTTATAAAATTTGGAAATTATTTAGGGGTAAACAATTTAGCTTGGTAATAATTCTAAATATTTACAGAATATGTTACTGATGGACTATAAACCAGATAAACAGCTAGTTTTTTTTTTTTTTTAATTTGTAAGGGAGGTTTCAAAATAGTTTTCCTTTCTGGTTTGCTAAATACAAGAATCCATCATCAAGGATTCACTTGTCCTTTCCTCTCATTTTAGACTTAACCTGGTGGGGGCTTGCGTTTCAGCTGACTTCTCTCCAGTGTTTCTTCCCGGGTCGGGATGCTGTCCTTGCCAGGGTGGGCACCAGCGGTTTCCTGGTGTGCTGTGTACAGACCAGCAGGCCGCAAGGTTTGGGGGGGGGGCTTTGAGTAAGCCGCCCGCCAGGAGCTGGTTCACAGTGGGCTGGTTAGCCATTCCACTGGCCTCTACACCTGGCCCCATCACATACTGGTGCACAGGAGATACAGTAAAATGACACATTAGTATTTGTGGGTGTACTGTTAGTCCTTTTCCCCCTCCCAGTAAAATACCAGTGATTAACAACAAAGAGTCTATTTGTAGGGATGGAGATCATTTTTATAGGGAGGAGTTTGTTCTCCTTCTACTGCGGATATTCATAAAAATGAGAACTTAGAATTAGCACAGCATACTAATGTTATAAAAAAGTTAGGTCCATACATTTCTAATGCTGAACATAAAAACATTGGTTATTTTTCTGTGGTTTGATATTTAGATGTGCTCATTGAAGTGTGTTAATGCTTTCTCTGTCTCAGTGATTCTAGGTATGAAGCAGTTTAGTGCCCTGGCCATTGTGCCAGTGTCTCTTAGGAGTCGTGCTAAATGCCCAGCAGACAGGAGTGTAGCAAGTTATGCTCCATATTCAGTAGTGATTTAATGCAGAGTTGGGGCAGGTTAAACCTCGTGGTATCAGGAGAAAATTAGAGTTATGCTGCCAGTCATCCAAGTTCCAGTATTTCGTGCTTGAAAATTTCCTGTCAGTGTTCACGTAACTGCCTCGTTCATGTCTGAGGTTTATGGTCCAAGAAGGCCCGCAATCTCCCATACGTTGTAGCCTTTCCTGGTATTCACTGAGTACTGTGGTTTCTGCTGCTCCATGACCTGCTGGTCTCAGGCCACTGGTAGCATTTCACCGCTGCTTCTTCGGTTCCAATTTGAGATACATGGTCTCGGCGGCGAGCACTTGCAGTGTCCTGCCATCAACCAGCTGTCGGGGTTGGTGGGAGACTGAGAAGGCCGCAGCTGACCTGCTGGGCTCCCACTGCCCCCCTTTCCACCTGCAGTGGGGTCTCATGACCATGGGAGCGCCTCTCTTGACGTCAGATCGACTGCCAGCTCAGCTCCATTGTGGTAGTCCTCACTTACGAAAAAGCAAATTTAAATTTCTGATGTGATCTTGTTAGGTCTTATAAGCATTTAAGTAAGGCCAAAGAGAATATTCATATTATGTGAGAAAATATGGATTCTGATTAGAATATTAGTGTACCAATTTAAAAAAATATATATATATATATAGAATGGCAAAATAAATTTACAACTGTAATTTTTACCCTGTTTACAGATTTGGAGATGTTTCTAGCTGCTTACATGATACAATGTAGTCGTCTAATTTCATATTACACTATAAATAATAATAGACGGGCTCGAAAGTTGTTTTGTGACAGTTTATACCTAATAAAATATATCTGGCTCTATTGCTATATTCAGGTTGCTACAAAGTGGAACATTTTCTGTCGTTCTCACTTCACATCCCTTTCATTCTGTTTCCCCCAGAGAGCGGCCTCCTCCGCAGAACGCAGTGGCTCACGTGAGTGTGAGCACGCAGACTGCTTCCGACGGTCAGGCTGCTAGAGTCTGGGACGAGCTCAGTCTGGTCGGCCTGCCAGACGCCATTGACGTCCAAGCCTTATTCGGCCCCACAGGTATGAGCTGGCCGTGGTCCTAGGCACCTTGGTTCTGTGAGCACTTCAACGTGCCCGAAGTAACCCCTTCCTAGCGAGTGCCCTTTGTTGAGGGATGGTTACAGTCACAGTGTAGACACTGCCATCAGTACGTGTGCATGCTCCGGGAAAATAAACCGTCTCTTTCTCACCTGCGCAGGGCTAACCCTGGGCCAGATGCTTTTTAAATTTTGTGAATACTTTTGTGTTGGCAGCAAAGCCCTGGTGACCTGACAGTTGAGGGAAGATGGCATTTGGAAGGGGTCTGTGTGAACCTGGGGCACATGGCACTCTGGCTCTCTCTGCCGGACCATAGTGGGGGGGCAGTAGTTCTTAGCCACGTGGGTGCCCCGTTAGGACAGAGGAGCATCGCACCCTCCGGAGGTGCTGTTGGGGTTTCCGGCCCACTGACGGTGGCTCAGGCTCACTGTGACAGAGGGTGTCCCGGCTGAGCTGTTGTCAGCGACTGGCGTAGCGTGTGTGGTGGGTGGGGCAGGACAGAGGGGTGGACTGCAGCCTGTGTGCCACACGTGCTCTGCGTCACAAATGAAATGTGAAGTAATGTCCACCAAGAAAGTAGTATGTTATGTGTGAGATTCCAAATAAGAGGTCTTGTAGTAATATTTAAGTAAAATGACTAAAAACTAATTTTTTGTTAGAGAGATCATTACTAATAATTCAGTGATTCTTGTTCTTTTGAGCTCCTGAGAATCACCGGGGGGGCTTGTTAAAAGGGGTTTCCGGCACCAGAGTCTCATTCAGTGGGTTCTGGCTGTGACCCGAGAGCTGTGGTTCTGACAGGCCCCCAGGTGGTGCTGCACCATGCCGTGTGTTTCACACCGTGGAGTGGGCGGGCTTTTTGTGCCTGTACTTCCTGGTGTTTGTGCACAGTTAACGCCACTCATTTGCTCCTTCTGCTCTGACCACCTTAGGCACGTGTTGGGCTCATCACCGCTGCGTGGAGTGGTCGCTGGGAGTGGGCCGGACGGAAGAACCCTTGTCCGTGAGCGTGGACAAAGCTGTTGTCTCAGGGAGCACAGAAGTAAGTAGAAGGGGCAGTCGTTCAGGCCCAGCTTTGTAACATTTGCACTAGTCTGCGGAAAGGCTCGCTTAGAATTATTGCAGTAAATAATTATTTAATAATAATTTCCATAATGTAAAACCCCTCAAAATAAGAAATTATTAATTGGTATTCTAGAGTTGTCTATACCACTAGAACATAATGTAACTTTTTAAAAGAAATATTTTAGGTTTGAACAAGAAAGTAAAATGTTTAGGAATTAGAGATACTAGCTATATGTATCCATCCACGTGGTCACTTTTTAAGACACAGGCACTTGACGAAGACCTCCCCTGAGAGACAACACCCGACAGTCATTTAGTCCACAGTGGGCCAGTTCCATCTGATATTCTAAAAGCTGATTAAAATGCTCCTTTCAGCTCAGTTGGCAGTTCAGTTCATCCCTTTGGCACTGTCCCCAATGACCATTATGTCCCCAGTTTGCTGTCCTCGGCGCGCTCGCTGCGAAGCAAGCGCAGAGGAAGGTGCAGTGTCCCCTCCCGCTGCGCACCCTGTGCAGTGAGGTGGCCCTTCCACGGGGTGTTAGAAATGGGAGTTCCATCTGTAGAAGTTAGACGTGGGTGAGGCGGCCCATCCACGGGGTGTTAGAAATGGGAGTTCCAACCATAGAAGTTATACATGGTCTTTGATGGACTGGATGCAGTTAAAGCTTCCAAAAGTGTGGTTGAGACAAGGACTTACATTCAAGTAATTATTCAGTTGTAACATTAGCTATACTCAGATTATCAGAATGACGTCCTTTACATGGATGAGTTACTCACCTCAAGGTTGGTTGTGGAAGAGTGCTTGTTTGGGGATGTGGCATTACGTTTAAGTGCTTGTGTTTCAAGGTGTGAACAGTATGATGCCTGATAGGAAATTCCACCGTCTAAACATATTGAGGTGGCCAGATCAAGAGTAGAATGGGTTCATGAGAGTAATTTTTCCTCTGAACTAACTGGGAAGCTGTTGGGGATTATGTTATGACGTTGAAAAGCACCGGTGCCCCTCAGAGCCTGTGGGCTGGGTCCCAGACCGCTGCATTAAAGCCAGCGCCCCAGTGGAGGGAGCGTTGTCTTGCCGGTGCAGGGTCTTGCCTTCAGTCCATGGGACACTCTGTGTCCGTGAAGCACAGTAAAGGCTGTGTGATAAGAGAGGCAGTGAACAAAGGCTGAACTGAGCTTCGTGGTGTTGGGTTGGAGCTGAAGGAGTCAATGCGAACTCTCCAACATGTATACACAGATACGGGAATACAGACCTGTGCGTGTACCTGAGTGAGTGTGCGCACATATGTTTCCTGGCTCTGTGTGCTATGAGGGCAGTTAAAGGGAAGCTTGCCTCTCCCTGTCCTTTTTGGACAGACGGTACCATTCTTGTTCTTCACGTGCATACTGAATAATATTTCAATGGAATGTGGAGGTCAAGGCTTTGCCCTAGGCCTGACAGAGGAATCGGGGCCATGGGAAGCTTGCATTCCTGCTCACTTCATCTCCGCATGAGTGTGGAGCGGGCCCAAGCAAGCGGAAGGCAGGCGCGCCCTGGGAGTGCGTGGCGAGGAGGCGAGAAGGGAGCCAGGGGCGGCTTTGTCAGGAGAATCTGCCTGACCTCCTCCAGCACAGCGGTCGGTCAGAGCAGGGCAAGTTGGCTCTCTGTCGCCCTTTCTTCGGTTTTGTTTTTCTCCATTATCACATGGGCACAGGGTAGACCAGTTAGCTAGCACTTCTAAAACTTGTTTTCCACTAAGAAAAGAGGGGTTTATCTCATTGACAAAAATCTAAACATGTAAAAAATTTGTTGAGGAGGCTGTGGGGAATGGGCACGCCTTACACTTTGCTGGTGGGAATGCAAATCGGTACATAATTTCCACAGGGAAGTTTGATGATACTAACAAGCCGCATATGCATTTATCTTGGGGCCTTTCTGGAATCTGTGCTGAAAATATGCCTGCAACAGTACAGAATACTCAAACGCTGTTAAAGTTGCAAAGTGTTGAAGCCACCTAACTGACTACACACGCTAGAGAGTGGTCGAGTAAACTGTGGTGCATCCGAAAACACAGTGAAGGACAGCTCTTCCAGCTGTCCCAAATGAGCAGTTACAACTGTTCCAGGGGAAGGGGACAGAAAGAAATAGGGAAACTCACACTTAGAGGGATGGGGAGGAAAAGCGCAAACCTAAGTAGATGAAAACCAGTATCTTGCCGGGCTACCCATAAAGCTGTGGACAGAAGGAACCTTACGCACGTGCTGTCACACAGCGACTGCAGGAGTTTCTGGCAGGGGCGTGGGTCAGCACTTCTGAAACTGCTTTATGTACATATCGCAGTGAACAAGTCAGTAAGTGGATGGCAGATCACGAGAGCTAGGTTTTCCACTGTTGGAGAAAGGAGCTGCTGATGAAGAAAGGCTAACATGAATTGGTGGCATTGGAATGGAATCAGAGAGGGATCGATGTAAACTCATGGTCTTTAACATTTATGCAGACAGATCCTGAGATACAGTTGTGTGTACGGGTGAGCTGGCATGCACACATTTGTTTCTTAGCTCTGTCCACCATGAAGACCTGGAAGCCGGGGCCCTTGGGGGGGGGTAGCACACCTAGGGCCTAGACTTTGGCTTTCACCACTGTTCTCCTTAAGAAGTAAAGTGGTTCCTGGTGCAGGGAACTAAGTAAGGTGCCAGGAAAGAAGGAAGTGCTCAGAGAGATGGGGACTCACTGAGAGTTCAGGAGCCAACCCGAGGGCATACAGCAAACAAGGATTGAGTTAGCTTTTCATCCACAGTAAAATGGTACACCTGAGTCCAGGCTGGCACAAATAAATATGGGGTTGGCCAAAAGTCCTTAGTTTTTTCCATAAAATAAAAGACACATTTTTCATTCTCACCAGTAACTTACTGACTTGGGTAGGTTGAGCATGCCGCCTTTGGCCCACGTGGTACAAGGTTGATTGCCCTTAGTACCTCGATTTGACCACTATCCACTCAAGCTGGTCTGCCGACCATGGAGCACGTTTAGTGGGAAATCTCCAGCACAGAACTTCGCAAACCACTTCCGACATGTTCGATCAGTCACAGCACCTTCTCTGTATACTGCAAATCTTGTCTTACATTTCCATTGTATTTTTACCTTTCTTTAAGTAATAAAGCACAGTAGGCCAAAATTGTTGCTTATTTTCTTCCATTTTCAGTATTAAAATGACTACACAGAAATCCATCAATTTTGATACATCTTTTCTTAAATGCATGCTGGTGTGACAGCTGTCACGGTGTAATCTAACTGAATTGTTTGAATAAAGTTAAAGACAATTAAGTGCTACTAGAGCCATCTTGCGGACTTTTTGGCCAGCCGAATAAATACCACAAATCAGTCACATGACTTCTTTACGCTGACCTTCTTCAGGGACTTCCCACTTCATTCCGAGAGTAGAAGCCAGTCGTAATGAATGGACAAGGCTCTGCGATTCAACCCCCACCCCCACGAGGACGTTCCAGATATCGCCTGGTGTCCCTCTTCCCCTCGTCTGCTTCCGGCAGCCACACGTACCCCTGTGGTCTTACTCCAATGCACCAGACACCGGCCCACCTCGGGCCTTTGCAGGGCCGCCTCTTCTTCGCTGAACGTTCTTGGGTGGACATGTGGCCTGCTCCCTCGTTTCCTGTAGGGACTTACTCAAGTTCCTTGTCTTTAGTGAGGACTTTGCTGGGCTCCCTCTCGAAAATTTCAGGTGTCTTCTCTTCCCACAACACGCTGCTTTGTCGTTTCTCCTTTGCGTGGACTGCCCTCTGACATAGTGTATATATTGACTTAATGATCTGGCTTCTCTCACTAGAGGAACAGTGCCATTCTGACAGATCTTGCTTTGTCTTTGTCATTCCTCCAGAAGTATGTGTAGTCTAAAACAAGAACGCTAAAGATCATTCGTAGAATCGTTCATAGTTACAAGTAAGAAGTCCAGAGTCCAAAGTATTGAAGGAGGTCGGTTCCCAGTGTGCTTCCTTTCATACAAGTTTATAAATTTCTGATTGTCCCCCCCCCCCACAATCTCTGAAGCAGTAAATTTCTACAGCTCTGCATCCGTGGTGGGGTGGAGGTTGGGGACAGCGAAGGTCTCTCGTGTCTTGGAAGGTTCCCTGGGGCAGCGGGTCAAAGTGCCGTTGAACTCGGAATCCACTGCTCTCTTTCCAGAGGGCAGATGTTCAAAGTGGTTGACTTTCATTGTTGCCACATGTGGCTGGAAGCGTCGTGGTTCTTCATCTGCCTCTTCATGATAAATGTGACAACAGCGAGAACTTGATGACTTTTCAAGGACGTGTACAGGTTTGAGCATTTTAAGAGTGGATATTTGGACCTATTTCTATCAATATTTTATTGCCATAAACAATGAATGTTTATAAAAACAAGCAGCAAAAAATATTCTTAACATTTGTCCTAAAAAATTTTGGGCAAGGAATTTCCTGATTTGTCTAAAATACTTTTTAAAGTTTTAGTGTGCTTTGAAACCCAGTTTGTAAAAAGAAAGTTCTTTCTGATTACAGAAAGTGAAAATTGACTAGCTAAATTTTGATCATTTTGGTTGGGATTGAACAATGGTTGTGGTAATGATGCACTACTTCTTTCTTAGATCTCCTTAATTCTGTTAGGACCCCCACCCTTTAAACACCTGATAGCCATTGAAACGAGTTTTTCAGTCTAAGAAGGACGAGAACAAGGCGCAGAGCTCAGAGGGAGGGCCTGCGGTGCTCTCCCAATTGCCCACGTCTCTTCTGAGAAGCATCTGAGCTTGCATCCTGGTCAGACCTTCTCCTGAACGCACGCGGCTCTCTCGTTCACACCCCTTACCCACAGCAGGTGTGAGTGTGCACTGCTGGTGTGCGTCTTCATTTCTGTGGCCCTCCCTCTGGGGCTGTCGGGGCACAGATAATGCCTCTTTGGGCTTATATTTTTTTCACCCCTAGCACCTAGCAGAGCGCCTGGAACACAGT